GCGCAGCCCCCACCTCTGCGACCCCTGGGGGGCATCCGGGTAGGAGCCCCCTCCCCACGCTGCCAAAGTGCTCCGAAGTTGCGGTCCCGCCCGTTCCCCGCGGGCAGTGCCCACCCGGTGGACAACCGCAGGTGCTTCCTCCGGGCCTGGGTAGGGACCCCCACCAAGACTGCCAGCCCACGGAGGAGCCCCCTGGGAATCCCCAGGCCCCCGAGGGCAGCGCCTGCAACCAGGCCTGGCGCCCCGGCCCCGCCCCGGTTGCCTGGGCCCGGCCTCCCCACCATCTCCCTGGGGAGGGCGCCTCATTCCTGCCCTTCACTTTCCGCCGTTACCTTGAAGGTATTTATAGGTAGAGAGGACAACCCCCGCTCCCCAGGGTCCTCATTTCTGGACCAGGAGCCCCATCGTTTTCTTTCGCCCGAGGACTAGAGCAATCTTGGTTGGGGGGTGGGGGGAATGGAGGAGCCCAAGCTGGGTATGCATGAGGGATAATGTTGGGGAGAAGCGAAAGGGTTAATGCTGGGGTCACTTGAGGCTGTGTGTGTGGAGGGGGGTGAAGGGGTTAATGCTGGAGAACCCTAAGGTCCTGTGTGGGGGAAGGGTTGGAGTGTGGGAAAGTGCAGGGATCACTGGTATGGGACAACCCAATGGAGAAAAGTAAAGGGGTAATGATGGGAGACTCCTGACGGTGTATAGGATCGGAGTGTACAAGTGGCTGGGATTCTTGCCGAGGAAACGAAGGCATGGCAGTAGGATGTGCGTGTGCATGGGTGTGAGGGCAGGACTGGGGAAAGTGCAGCTGTGTGTGAATGAAGGGAGGCGTCTGGAGAAGTGGAAAGATTGATGGAAGAAAACCTGGTGGCTGAGTGTGCATGTGTCAATATGGGTAAACTGAGGCAGTGCAGGATCTGTATAAAGGGGAAGAGTTATTGATGGGGAGATGGAGGCATGCTGAGGGTAGGGGCCATTGGGATAGAAGGTGTGTGGATAAGGTCTGAACACCATTAGCTCCCCTGGGCTGGGAGGTAAACTGAGGCAGTGAGCTGCAAAGGTGAGGACCGAGGTTTTGAGGGAGGGGAAACTGAGGCAGATTCCCTTTCCTCCATCCCCTAAGCACTTCTCTCTCTCTGTCCCCAGGCCCACAATGCCCCGCTGAGCCAGCCCAGCAGCTGAGTGGATCCAAGCAGAGAAAATCCAATGGAGGGGTCCCTGGCAGGCAACCCAGCTGCACCAGATCGTCCCCGAGGCCCAGAGAGACTGCCTGGCCCGATGCCGAGGGAGAACATCGAGGGTGGGGCCGAGGCTGCTGAGGGGGAAGGTGGCATCTTCCGGTCCACCCATTACCTGCCTGTCACCAAGGAGGGCCCCCGAGACATTCTGGATGGCAGAGGTGGCATCTCTGGTAAGAGAATGGGCCCTGTGGCCCCCAGGAAGCATCCAGCTCATTCCCCAAGGCTCAGAGAGAGCCAAGTCACCCAGCGCAGTAGCAGCTGAGCTGGGATGCTGATTCTGCTTTGGTCCAGAGTCTTTTCTTTGCACTCTGTTTAGTTTCTTATTTGACAGTTGTGAAAACAGATGTCCTGGGAGCCAGTGACCAGACCAAGGCTCCCCGCTGGGTAGTGTGGAGCTGGGACTTAAACTCAGGTCAGCCTGGCTCCCTCCTCTGAGCATACTAATTGGGTCCAGAGGCCCATCTCAGCACCCCAAACTCCCTGTCCCCAGCCTACTTGTTCCACAGGTATTCCCCACTCCCATCAGTCTATCCCAGCTCTCTCTGGCTGTCTGGGTGTATCCTGTTCCTGAGCCATGGGCCAAAACAGCGTGGACCCTGTAGTGGCTAGGGAGAGACTGGGTAGTCAGGGATACTGGCCACCCCTTTGTGCCTTGGTTTACCCAGCAAAAAGGTATCTGACACTCTCCCCACATCCAGATGTGTTATTCATTCATTAAATACTGAGCACCTTCGGTGTGCCAGGGTATGTGCTAGGTGCTGGGAAGGCAGCTGTAAACCAAAGAGGCAAGAATTCCTGCCCTCAAGCGGCTGACACTCTAGTAGGGGAAATGGACAACAAGCAACTAAACAAATATCAGAAGGATAGGTAGTGACAGATGCTGTGAAGGCATTAAACAGAGTGCCAGGATCATGCCTGGGAGACCTGGGAGAGCCTCCCTGATAGAGTGGCATTTGAATGGAGCATGGAGTGAATGGTGGGAAGGACATTCCGGGTGGAGGGAACAGCCAGTGCAAAGGCCCTGTGGTGGGGAGGAGCCTGATGTGTCCAAGGACCTAGTAGGAGGCTGATATGCCTGGAAAACAGTGGGCTGATGCCTCAGACCGCCCCCCCCGCCCGCCCATCTCCAAACACCTAATCAAGGGCTTCCTCCATGCCAAGGCTTTTGCATGATCATCTTCTGTCTTTCTCCAAAGAACCCTGTGGAGTAGCCTTCGTTACTATTATCCAGTATCAGAGATGGGGAAACTGAGACCCAGAGCAGCGACATAAATTGCCCAAGGTCACCTAGCCAGGGAGTAGCATGGCTTGACAGCCCTCACTCTTAACCACCCTGCTGCATCCTCGCAGATCCTTGACCTGCTCCAGCCACCTTTACCACTCATGATGCTCGGATATTTGTAAATACACAGCACCTTCTAGGGGCCACACACTGGGGCGCAGTGGTGACTGAGCACACACCATCCTCGCTCTCACAGACCCCACCCTCTGAGGCTGGGGAGACAGATGTTGTGATACCATGTTATGACCCGGTGTTATGTCACCAGGTGTTATGACACAGCGGCTGGGGCTGTGATGAGGAAAGCACCTGGTGGGGAGCAACCAGGAGTTCCTGCAGTAAGTGAGAGGTAGGATGAGGAACAATGAGCCAGACCAAGGGG